TATACAAGAAAAGGGGATCAAACTTATGTACAAAGGAACATGCACATCGCCTTAGCTAACTAGCTTAACTCACATTTGCAAGCCTTGCTATAATTTTAAGGATTTCAAGCCTTGCTATAATTTTAAGGATTTCAAGGACACTCTAACGCTGACCTGGCGTATTGAAAGATGGATTATTTGGGCGGTTAAGATTTTTATGAAATGCAGACTTTGTTAATGCACAGAATGTCTGACCCAGTGAGGAGGAGTAAGGCATGTTGGTTGCGCAATCAACGAATATACACGACGAGGTTGATCCACACGTGGCCCAGTACTCACTACGTATCCTGGCTCTGCCTTGTCCACGTGCCACTTCCTTTGGCTCCGTCATTTTGCCAACTTTCTCTGCTTCTCCAAACAGAAACACAAGACACACAGAGAGCTCTAGCTTTCCTCTTCCTTTTGTGAATGAATATTTTCATTTTTGCAGAGCTTTCTCAGGTTTTGATGAGGAAGAGCTTCTTGTTTAGTTACAGCGGAGGCGCAGATGATTGGTGGAATGAGATTGGTGGATCAAAACAATGGCAAAGTGGCCCAACGTACTATATCCTGTCTGCCTCTTATGCCTTGGTCTCTCTTGTTGCTCTGGTAGTACCCTGCAATATTTTCATTCCCCATTTCTCATTTCTGTCAAGTTTTTCAGTTTTTTGGGCAGACCCATTTTCTGTCTTTCATTAAAAAAATGCATCTTCAGTGAGTTTTTTTTGTTGGGTTTGTCTGTTTTAATCTCAGTTATTTTTATGAGAAAATTATATATAATCTAGGTTTGGAGAATATGAAGAAGATGAGGCTTGTTTGCTATATATTTTCAGGTACAACTTGTGCGCATTCAATTAAGAGTGCCAGAATATGGGTGGACAATACAAAAGGTTTTCCATTTGATGAACTTTCTAGTCAATGGATGTAAGGGTTGTGTTGCATTTTTTCATACTCTTGCATTCTGCACCCATTTCTTATTGTATAAGCTTTTAAATAAAGCCAAAAATAATAATTTTTGTGTGTGTGTGTGTGCAGTGAGGGCTGTCCTATTTGGTCTCTACAAGAGTGTTCTTCTTATTAAGCCTAAGGTATGCGTAATTTGCAGCCTCCTGAATTATGCTGTCCTATTCTGGGATTTAATATATAGTGGTTTTGGCAAAACAGTGTTTTATGGATAAGTAATAAGTTTTGTGTATTGGGATCTTTACTGTTAGAATTTGGGTTTGCTTGCCAAGGGCCGTATACAAATTATATAATGATGCAAGAATGGCATGCCATTTCAGGATAAGAACATGGATTCTTGCAAATAACATTTTCTGTCTGATATGGTTCATAGGATAAGAACAGGATAAGAACAGTGTTACTTTTTAGTCGGAATAGAAATATAGAAGAATCATAGGAGTAGTGTTAGAATGATATATAAAACTTAAAAGAAAATCCCAAGTATTATTAGGTAGTCCAAGAATGTGTATTGTGTCTGTCTGGAAGACTTAATGAGATAATAGCTTGTTCCATGCGTAACAAAATACAACGATTTGGAAATTCTCTGTCCTGTATTTTAAATGCAATGTAAAAGTGGAAATATGTTTCTGTGTCTCCTGAACTTTGAAAGTAGGCTTCCAGCTTGCAGAGTTTGAGTTATTGTAACTTTTGAAACCAATTTGCTTCAGTGCTTTGTGTTGTCTTATTATAGAATATTTTCTAATTGTGCTGCCTAAATGTATTGCAGGCTCTTGAAATGCTGCTTATGGATCTTCCTGGTCTTTTATTTTTTTCCACGTATACATTACTTGTCTTATTTTGGGCTGAGATCTATCACCAGGTATACCTACTTTTCTTTTTCTTTTTTTTCTGAATCTAATATGACTAATGAGTTGTTGTGTGCCTTAATTCATATCGTCTGATTATTTTCATGTATTTTTAGGCAAGAAGCCTTCCGACTGATAAACTTAGGCCTGCTTATTATATTATAAATGGATTTATATACTTCACACAGGTAAGGAAAAATGATTTATTTCTCGTTGAGCATGATTAGGCACTTACGGCTGAATTTCATTTTGTTACTACACTTGGGGCATCACTGTTGCATGCCTGGTCATTGTGTTATGATGATAGGTGTGCATCTGGATTTTCATGAGAGTAAGCCGAAGTCCTGTTGCCGTAGAAGCTGCTAGAATCTTCTTTTCAGGTCAAAAGGCAATACTATACTAATATCTTGCTCACTTTTGCATTTCTTTTCTCTAATTTTAAGTTTTTGTCAAACATTTGTGCAGTTGGAATAAGTAGTTCATTGCAGTATATGCATAAACATTGTTAGAAAAACTACTACGTAGATGGAAAAGCTAAACTTGACATTTATAATCAACATTTGTTTGTAGTTATTTCATTCGGTACTGCTCTGGGATTCTTGATATACGGTGGAAGGTAAGGATTTATGGTTCACCTACAGAAAGTGCCCGAATTTTTTCTTCATGAAACTCGTGTTTATTTTTGTGTTGTTTATGACTTTAGGTTGTTTATCATGCTGAGGCACTTCCCCATTGAGTCAAGAGGCCGTCAAAAAAAGCTGGAGGAGGTTTGTGCTTATGTTTGAGTCACATTATGGCCTGAAACCGATGGAAGATATTAGATATTATTATAGGCATAAATGGTTTGATGAATTTTCTTACTCTATTTGATCAAGCAATGAAAAGAAACATGATCTAAAGTGTTTATGCACCTTTCACGGTAGGGTTACATGATCTGCTCCAGGATCATAACCATGACAATTGTAATCCACAGTACAAACCTGAAAGTAAGGAAGTAGTGCAATTTATGTAGAAAATCACAGTGCCCAACTTATTTTACATGGCAGGTTGGATGGGTCACAGGCATTTGCTGCACTTGTTTCTTGATAAGATGCTTGGTGGTGAGTTCCTTTCAATTGTGAAGCACTTGCACATATAACCAAAAAAGTTATTGATTTTTTAAGACTTATTTCTTGAGTCGTATTGCAGCTCGCAGTTTCTGCATTTGACAAAGATGCAGATGTCGATGTCGTGAATCATCCTATCCTAAACCTTATTTATTACATGGCAAGTTTTGAATCCTTAACTTCCATATTTTATATCTTGCTCCTCTGCCAGTAGAGTTCCATATACCGTATTTTGTCTAGCTACTGCAGTCCCCTCCCTCACCGGGATGGGCCAATGCTTGTTACCTAGATCAGGCAGTCTAATGGTTTGGAAGAACTTTCCAGGAGAATATCTCCGAGTGAAAGAGGACTTCAAGCAAAATAGATGGACTAATTGTTTCTTTGACTGCGTAGTATAGAACTATTCTTATCTATGTTGTAAACATTTTTCATTTATGTTGGCACAGTTAGCGGAGATTGTTCCATCTGCTTTGGTGCTTTTCATCCTGCGAAAGGTGCCGCCTAGGCGTGTTTCTGATCAGTACCAACCCATAAAATGAAAGCTCTATTCATCTCTTTAGCCTATGTTGAAACTGAAGTGTTGGATGATTCCATGGTCTGCTCGAGTTGGATTTCATGTATATTCTTTACTTGGTATTTCTTTTGTATATTTTTCTTTTAACAATGGGGACAGTACCTATGGACGCTTTCTAGAATAACATTTCAAAATTATTGAACACAAACACTGCTTCATTTCTTCATTGTAGCTTTTTTACTATTTTCAAAATTAAATTCTATTTACAATGTTTTCCTATTATTCGTTCATGAGTAAATTTGAGCAAAACAGAAAAATTGACATTAATGCTTTACAAGAAATGAACACAAATAAAGGCATACTCTATATGTAGAGTCTCGGGATGCAGGACTTTGTGAGAATAGCAAGGGGTTTGTAGTTCAAGTGGTTAAGAGCAAAGCAATTACCCATGCATATGAGGTCTTATGTTTGACTTTTCTCTTCTCTAATATCGCTAATGTCAAAAAGATAAAGGGTGATTTTGACCCAAAACCCTGCACACGTCGTTAAACACTATTAGTATGATGTTCCATATCAGAAAATAATTCAAGTCATTTTGCATGATTTCACAATTTAAATGCGTCTCACTTTTCTTGTTTTCATGATTAAAACTTAAACTCCTCCAAGTCTCTCTCTCTCTCTCTCTCTCTCTCTCTCTCTCTCTCTCTCTCTCTCTCTCTCTCTCTCTCTCTCTCTCTCTCTCTCTCTCTCTCTCTCTCTCTCTCTCTCTCTCTCTCTCTCTCTCTCTCTCTCTCTCTGTTTGATAAAAACATAGAAATACTTAGTTGTTCCATCTAACAATAAGATTGAACTTTTTAAAAAATTAAAAATAAAATAAAAATAAAAATAAATACGTTCATATATTATGAGCAAAAGAACGAGATATTGGAGGAAACTATTAGGAGTAGGCGGGAGAAAAGTAAGAGATAGATTTGAGAGAATGAATTTGAATATCAAGAGTAAATGCACGTAACGCCGTATTTTAAGGATTTAATTCAGGATTTGAATCTATCTTTGGGAGATAGATTTGAAGGATATGTTAATTCGAACGTATCATGACAATATCAGGTTAAAAATAAAAAAGCGTGCAGTGAATATTTCTGAGTTAATTTCCCACATCTAAAAAATGTCAACTTTTTGAAAATTTTGGAGGAAGAGAAGTTAAACTATGGTGGGAAATCAATATCTTGTGACAAGTCAGAGTCTAGGGCAGAGGAGATATTTAATTTGAACTCGAAAATCACAAGTGAGTGGATTTTAAGGGCTTTTTTTTTTTTTTTGGGCAAAATGGATTTTAAGGCCTTGGATGTATGCAATCCTCAACTAGGGTGCTGTTGTATAATAGTCACACTTGTGTTTTGACAAGTTTGATCTAACTCATTTCTTGTTATTACTTCTGGAATCTAAATTTTTTATTGAGGTGTGTAGTAAATTGGTCTAAATTATTACATTTATTTGTTTATGAAACTTTTTATGGGATTTTGTCGTCTTTTTTGTTTGTTTGTGGAAACTGAATCATTCATAAGGCAGAAGCCAAGGCAACAGCCAGAGATAGAGACAGAGCAGTACTTCACCGCCGCAGCATCCGCAACCGCATTGGCTTCTCTTGGGATCCAAGCCCAACGAACATAAAGAGGGATACATACCCCAGTCCCCTCTGGCAATTTTTCCAGAACAATTATCAATAACATTCCTTGAATCAGACTCCACACACACACGAGTGATGCCATGTTCCAGCGCAAAAGATAGTCCTTCAATAATTGCCCGCGCTTCAGCAATCTCAATAGACCCAGTTGTGGTCTTCAAAACTTTTCCATACTTAAATTCACCCATATGGTTCCTGATAATTATAGCAAGACCAGCTAAACCCGAAGCATTTTGCCAAGAGGCGTCCACGTTCAGCTTAAGGAAGGGGTTAGGGGGAGCACACCACGTCAGACTAGGATTAACCACACCTTCATCTCCACCAACTCTATTGATAGTCCCTGGGCAAACCTCATTTTGAAAAAATTCAGACCAGGCCTCCCTAGCTCCATGCAGGACCTCCAACGGATTTGGACGCAAATGTTCAAACACGGCTTTACAACGAGCTTTCCAAATACTCCACATAATAAAAGACAAGATAGTAATTGATTTGTTAACCTCATCTTTAGGCTGGTTAGGAATGTTGCAGAGGGAGAGAAACCATTGGTGAAGAGAGGTTACCTGTTGCCTATTACCGATATACCCCAGCGGGAAAGCGAACCATACCCCAATAACCCAAGGACAAGTCAGGAGGGCATGTTCAACCGATTTAGGATGGTCTTCACATATAGGGCATGTTGAGGAGCATGGCACCCTTCATCCAGCCAAGTTGGCCTTTGTAGCCAGACAGTTGGTCATAGCCTTCCACATAAAGTGTCGAATTTTAGGAAGGGTTTTCGCATGCCAAATTAGCTTCCAGAGTTTCTTATCCAACCCAATGGAGCCAGAGGCAGGCTTTATCCACGATGCTCATTCTAGCATGTTGATGCAGAAAATAATACCCCAACCTGACAAAGTATTGCCCATGTCTATTCAGAGGCCAAATTAGCCTGTCCTTACCGTCACTGGGACTAAGAGGGACAACCAAGATGGCAGCTTCCTCATGGGTAGAGATGCATTGTCTGATTGGCTCCACATTCCAGGATCGGGTCATAGGATCAATAATAGTTGCGACACGAGTCTCTTGGCATAAATCACCCGATAATTGGACAGATAACTGAGCCCCGGAATAGGATGAATCCAGCAGTCATGCCATAGCATAACACTTTCTCCATTAACCACTTGCCATTGCACGTGCCCTGGTTGATAACTTTCATACCCTCCACTCTAGGATACTTGACCAAACCCACGAAGCTTTGGCACCCTTTTTAGCATTAACACATTGCCATCAAGAAAATATTTATCTTTGAGTATGCACGCCCATAAGGAGTCAAGGTTCATGAGCAACCGCCAGCCTTGCATCGCTTATAAAGCTAAATTTAATTCAGTAAAATTACGGAAATCCATTCCTCCAACTTTAGCAAGGCCCAACTTCTCCCAGCAAAAACTTCCAATGGATGAGTCAAGCTCTTTGCAAAAGGTAATAGGAAACTTAAAAACTGAAAAGGGTACACCGGAATAGCCTGAATGACTGCTTTAACTAGGACCTCTTTCCCAGCTTGAGAGAGAAGGAGTTGCTTCCAGCCCTGCAATCAAAGCTCCCTTTTTAGATTTTCCCCAAACGGTCTGCAACCCCAAGTATACCCCGGAGGAGTTCTCCACAAGCATCATTCCCAACAACTCACAAATACTATTCTTGACATCAATGGGAGAATTGGTCCTAAAGAAGCAACAAGACTTATCAGTATTAAGCAGCTGGCCAGAGGCCAAGCGGTAACTCCTTAGGACAGCCAACAAATTAGAGCAATTTTCCCGACTAACTCTCATAAACATAAGAGAGTCGTCAGCCAAAAAAAATGAGAAATCAAGAGTGCATTCCTGCTAAGTCAATTGGTCTAGATTTGTACGTGTATTTGTTTGTGTGTGATGTTGCGCTATCGGAAAGAGCTTTGCTTGCGACCAAGGTCTAAAATATCGATGATATCGGAAATATCGGTAGTCCAAAAACACGAAAATGTCGATAGAAATATCGGAATATTATCGGTATCGATAAAAATTGAATAAAAACCACGGAAATTGTAAGAAAAACTTGGAAATTTTTATTGAAACTTTGCAGGATGTTTATTTAGTCAATTATCTATTAGTTTATCACAAAAAATTAGAAGGAAATGCATTGCAAGATGGATTTAACTTATTTAAGTTGATTATATAGCGAGCTGGCAAACATTGTAAGTGTAGAAAATATGTAGTAATTAATGAAAGAAGATTAAACACACCATAATCATTTATATATAATGAATTACTACAATATTTTACACTTTATACATTGCATGGTAAGATACATGAGTGACTTAGTACTACATAAAGTTCCTATGAGGTTCAAAATTTTCACTATCTTCATCATCTCTATGTGTAGAGTAAGTAAGAAAAGATTAAAAAGAAACCAACAAATTTTGAATCAAAAATTTTCATGTATTTTTTGGATTTCGTATCGCGATATTATCGATAATATCGCGATATATTGCCCAAATCATTCATAAAAATATTGAAATTATCGTCCCCGATATTATCGGGATAATATCGATAAAAATATCGATATATTGACAATAACACCATGGCTAGTTGCGAAAATATCGGCCCCCCAAAAAACTGATATTATCGGGATAATATCGGCATTTAATACGTTGCTTGCGACCGATCATAATCACCCACATTGTCCACTCTACAGCATTACACATATTTGGAAAATTTCAAGAAAATTTAAAATAAATTAATTTTGGGTTGCTGGAAATTAAAATTTCAAAACCTTTTATGTGAATTAATTACCAAAACACACAAGAATCATGAGTTTATTTACATAAAATTAAACTCTGATGGGTTAACTAACAACTTGACTGGTAAGGCAGTCCACATCAATTTCTAACTTGCATTCAGTTCGTGGACATCCAAATATATCCGGGACCATTCAGCACTAGGATGTAAGTTAAGAATCATATGTTCTTGAGCACTTCCAAATCTTTTACTTCGACAATACTTCACAGATTTTGAAATCAACTGGAGCAAAGCTCAGGGTACACGTAAATTAGTAGTTACAACGTTTTTCACAGTATACAACAATAAAAATATTCCACTTCCTAAATAAATTTAACCACAATAAAAACTGTGTAAGCTAGAGTAAATTTTGATTGTCCTAACTACGCTTTTGCAGAACTGGGTATCTCATAGATGACTTTCTACATCGATTGGATAGGACATATACAGACAGGCTACAACATTCAAATACCTGTAAGGATGCCAGTCATATATAATTTACAGACAAGGCAACCGAGTGCAGGCTCAATCAAATGCTATAGACATGAAAGTGTCATCATCCAACAATTTGTCAATATCAATCAGATCATCACCACCTTCGACCTTTAGTTCTGATCCATCCATAGCCATTTCACTTACCTGCCAGCAGATCATGACATGCAAAACATGTTATCAAAGTAAGTGGCAATTGCAGGCGATGGTTATTGATATTTAGTACTAACAGTTCCATTAGTTGTCCAATAGTAACTGACACTGGGTGATGACGGACTCACATTTTCTATACTAAGATTCACAGAAAGGGCAACGTAGAAAAGTGAAGATCTTCAATCTTGTTTAAGTCTTAGAAATTTTCATGCGCCCTTTGTTAACCTTGGAACATAATGCATACCGAAAATGAAAAAATTCAATTGATTTGCAACTGAGGACAGGGTTCCAAGGCTTATAATTAATATGGAAAACAAGACCATACTTGGGCCTTTTTAAATATCCGAGCTAAAATACCCAAAAATTGTATAATGAAGTCCTTGAAGAGACTGCGCTCAGCAGCAGATCACGATATTTGAGAATTCATGGTTTTCACACATAGGAATTTCGGAAACTTGAAATAAAACTGAACTTTTAGAATTACTTTAAGAGCCACTCAAAAAAGCTTTGAAGAAAAGATGATCTCAATAATTACGGCATTCATATGCTAGATCCTGGTGTCTGTTTGGTTACACTTCTTTTTATTTTTGGTTTCTGTTTCAAATTAAAGATAGACAAGGGAATGAGAGGAAAGTGAGAAGAATGATGAAAAATGTGAGGAAGGCAGCAGAAAGTATATATAGAATGATCCATAAAGAGATACTAAAAGTTTAACCAAATTTAAAAAATTTCTACTTTTAGCTTTAGTTTTATGTATTCTCTCTCATTTCCCCAAAATATTTTTAACCAAGAAAATAAGACTGAACAAAAAAAATGAAAATGTTATCAAGCAGGCCTGAATAATCAAATAAAAATGCAATCAATATCAACATAGAATCAGAAGTCAGTATTAGTAAATTATATCCAAAGGGGTAAAAAACGAAAAGAAAATGTACTTAACAAAAAATGCGACATTTCTGTTTCTACAAACAGTAACTAAGATAATTAGACTATAAAAGTGAGATGTATAAATTTGAGAAGTATCAATACCTTGGTTTCGCGGAACCCTTCCACAACATTTAGCAGTCTACGATATTGAGCTCGTCCCTCGGGATATTGAACCATAGACTTTACCCTAGTAAGCGCTTTTTGTAACCTTTCCTCAGTTTGTTTCCTTCCTTTCTTAAGAAAATCATAATCGTCGTCTTTTGAGGGCACGCTTTGTGGGTTCGAAGCCTTGGCAACTGCATCCGGTCGGAATCCTCGCAAACCAGTCCCCTTACGTCTCCAACGCAATATAACTTTCTCCAGAATTCCAACTGACCAGGTGATTGCTTTATATTGTTTCCTTACTTGGTGTCCCCGTACATGAGCCTTTACCAAATGGAAGTGGAAAATTAGCATTCAAGGCTGTACACATCTTTCAGAGAAGCAATACCCAGAAAATTAATACAGTTTTGGAAAGTGGGTCTCTAAAAAATATCTTATTGAATTCAAAATATAATATTTATTAAAGCGAAGATTGGGATGGCCAGAACCAATCAAATCCTCAACTCTAAAACATGATTCCAAGATTCTCAGAAGTCACTAAGTCAACAACTCTTTACTATGTGTCTAATTTAATTGGCAAAAGAACTAACGACCAGAAATAGAATTTTTATATACAAAACAAGCTTAAAATACTTCCACAGAGAATTTTATTTATATGAATCATTTGTTACCCAAAATCAGGGGCACCGGTAAAAGCTATCAATGATAAGACTGTTTTCTTTTAACTCAATCAACAAACAAAAAATTGCAACAAACCTGGATTTTAACAATTCTTTGACGAATTATCAGGAACTCTTTTCTCTTCTTCCAACCACGAAACTTCTTCTGTATCTGAATTGCAGCAGTATGAGTATACCCATTGACTGGTCCCACCTTGTGTGATTTGGAAGCTATGAGTGAAATCGCTCGCTCATCCGGCATTCCGAACTCATCAGTATCATACTCAGTTAACTGTCTCCTATCAAATGACTGCATCCTGAACATTTGATGTATGCGATCAGCAGCTTGTGTAGCATTAGTTACAGCAGTAAGTGAATCCTTCAGTGAAAGCGCATCTGACATATCACTGTAGCTCCCAGGTGTGGCTATTCGTTCTGAAAAAGTTTTAACAGCTTTTATTCCAGATATTTCTGCAGCACCACCTTCCTTTGCATCATTCATTGTAAGGGAGTCAAGGTAACTGGTCAGGGAAGACTCGGCGAGGAAGCCTGAGATTCCTTTGTGTTGGTTAACAGAAGCCAGGTCTGCTGGTGCTCTACCCAAAGGAAATTCTGGAGACGGATCGGTCAGCGCTCCAGGAGCTGCACCAAGAGAGATAAGGATTGCAACCGTCTGCTCTCTGAATTTGGTATAGGTTCAAGGTAGGAAAACAAAAACACAGAACAGCAAAATATGAGCATGTGTTGGAATAGGATGCAGATTAAGAGCACTAGATGCTAATTCAAAAACAACACAAGCCCAAGTGAGCAATTCATTCCCTCAGTATGCTTTTGAGCTAGCATATGGTAATTTGCAAACAATTTATCAGGAAGGAAATATAAATGAAGTTTTACTTGAAGCTTAAAAAGTGCAGGTTAAAAGAAAAATTAGGTCCTTTGTCACTATAATATTGTATAAATCACTAGTTTACTTGTCTATGTGAATATGATGGATGTGTGTGTGTGTGTGTGTGTGTGTGTGTGTGTGTGTGTGTGTGTGTAGAGAGAGAGAGCGAGCGAGGAGGACTGCTCAATGTTTTACAAAACAAGTCATTGTTAAATGGCTTCCCTCAGCTCTTATAATTCAACAAATATTCAAGAGCTAGATTAAAATAAAATAAAATAGGTAGGTCCTGATGTCCTTGCCTGCCATAGATTGCAGCCCAATGAAGGGCAGTCCATCCATTAACGTCACGAAAATTGATACTAACTCCTGCAGTTACAATGGGTTTTATGGCCCAATCATATCCAAGAGCAGCTGCTAAATGTATCACGCCTTGGCCCTCGCTATCTAATACACTAGGTCCTTTACCATCTTCTATTGCTTTATGAAGGAGCCATGTGTACAACTTCTCTTTCATCAGCTTTATGAGATTTTCCATCCCTTCATGTTGGAGCAAATCATTCACTACTGTTGGCTCTACCAAGGGTAAGTATTCCTCTTCCTCCTTCAGTGAAATGATTTTACTAATTAAATTTTGTTTCTCCTTAACACCTTCAACTAGTTGACCTGAAGGGCTGACAGATCTCAGAGACAGTAAGCTCTCAAGACGCAAGTGAAGATGGATTTCATTTGTAGTGCCATTGCAGATATTTGTTATATCTAAATCTTTAGTGGAGCCCACTTGATAATCAAACTCCCTTACTTCACTACAGGCTAACCTGTTGGAACAGGTTACATAGAAAGGGACTTGCCCAGCACTGTGAGGTGGAGCAAAACAAAAAAGAACTCCATTGGCTAAAACCTGTGCTGGAACCTCCACTTCCCCGAACATACAAGACCAATTATACTTTGTTATCTCTTTTTGACTTACCAAGAATGTCCCAATAACCAGAACCTGTTTCACATTTAGCAAAATGAGATAACAAAAAAGAAATCGAGCAGATATACATATAAAATGGCAACCATCAGATCTGCAATAGAATAGACATGCCAACAAATTTGGTAACCTTTTACCAAAGCATGGAGATAATATAATATTTCATAGTCAAATAGAAAATATCAGAAAGCAAATTTTTTAAAGTTGGAAGACAGATACCAAAGAACAAACATAATAACCAACCAATTTAAGTGGAAACAGGGGAGAAGTAAAACCAAAATATGTCAAAAACTCTCAAGTAATCAAAAAGATAAAATGACAGAAATTGAGTGAAAGATGATAGTATCACAAGAAGTTCAAAAGCTGAGTACCACATACAAAAGAGTAGCTAATAGTTACAGAGTTGTTCAGAGAAATATGAAACAATGGCATCTTATATAATACATTTTCAGCAACAAAATTATTTTGGCACAAAAAGGATTTCTACAATAAATTTAGTAAGCATCTGACTAGATAATATTTACGTTGCCGAAAATCTTTCTCTTGTAAAATATGCCATAATTCAGTACCTCAATTTCAGAGTCTGTGTATGCCCATTTTGGTGAAAAATCAACTATACTGAAAAGCTGGTCCTGGGAGATAGAAGGGCTCAATGAGGAATCATCAGCTACATTTCCACATTCATCTGTGCTCCACGAAATACCAGATGAGGATTGCATCTGCAAATCATCAACCTCTCCGAGTTCCTTAGAAACCCACCTAGAGAAACTGTCAACTTTCTTCAAACCCTCTTCTCGATCTAATAATTGCTGTCTCAAAGTGAAAGCATAGTTGATATTCCCATCTTTAGGAATGTCAGGCTCAGAACTTGATATGATTAAGCATTGAGATTCTGCATTTGTAAGCTGTGCTTGAAAGTTGTTCTGCACAAGCTGGTCATTTTGCTGATTGGGATGTGTAGTGACAAGCTCAGGAGCATTTCTCAGATTCACATCAACAGTGCCCTGCTCAAATAACCTGGTATCAAGATTACTTGGCAGTTGCAAATTCATTGACTGGTCAAGGGGCCATTTGGGCAACTGCAATGCATTTTCTTCCAAAGGAATCTGGATAAACAATCTAATACTTAGAACATCAACATAATTCTTAATTTGAAGAAACTATATTAATATAAGATGCAAACATTAACACGAAGAAGAAAAAAACATGTAACCAATATATGCAGCATACCAGAGAATCCATGGATGAAATCATCCAAACGGAAAAATGAAATCAAAACAGTGAGGTAGAGTTGGTTACCAAGCTGAGATGTTCCTTATTAATACACCAGGGTTTTTACTGTATACTTATAGTTTGGATTTTATAAAATTCAATACCTCAGCTGTTTTGGATGTCTGTACATAAAAATTTAGTGTGACGCTAAGAGAACAGCACCCTACATGCACATAAAGTGAAATATCCTCAAGTATCTGCAGTTCAATATGACATGAAAAAAGCAGGACTAAAGCACACGGAAGAAGTAATAACACTGAATCTCAGAAATTATCTATAACAATAAGCCTAAATGATAAACAGCTAAGGAACATGCCAACAGTAGATAAAGAACCATAGAAGCTAGTAAATACCTGCCAATTTGTTCGGAATGGCAGAGAACTCCCGAACTCCTCCTTTAATGTGCTATTCCCTGCTAAAAGCTCAGTTGAAGTTATATTTTGTTGTTCAGGGGGAATTCCAGCTGAAGCAAATTGGATGGAAGACTTTGATCCATGAGAAGTTACAGTATGAAGTCCCGTTGAGCACTGTTCCAAGATTTCTTCCCAGGATCCCACACCAAGTGTTTTTTGGGAATCAATCCCACAAGTAGAGTCGTCACTGTAACAATGTTGATCTTTCTCAAAATATGGCCTGTAATTTCCTCCATGAAAGGATGACTGGCCATCATGATTGTCTGATAAGATTATAATTATCAAATCAGCATGTTGCACGATGTAAGAGGTCATTTGATGAAGCCATCCATGAATAAATATAAATTAACAAGCAACAGCCCTCCCTCCCCTCCCCGAGGCAAAAGAATAAAAGTAAAAACATAAAGATCCTTACTCCAATGTGGATGCAGTGAGAGATTAATATCTGCTTTGTCTGTGAGAGGACCATTCCCCATCTGTTGTGAGTCGAAACTTGAGTGAAAAGAACTTGCTTGGCGACTATCACCTGCATGAGCTCACATGTGTTAAACAGAAACTCTCATGCATATTTAAGAAGTGAGTAGGCGTTGCAGTCATTTTGGCATCTATTATGTACATCAAACTGAATTTTCTAAAATCAAGACAATAAATTATCAACACAGGACCAAAAAGGCATGTCAAAGATAACCCTTTTTAACAAAGCTACAGAAATGGAATACCAGAATCAGCATCTTCACATGATGTGAGGTTGCTGCTTGGGCTTGTATAATCTGTATTTCCTGAAGGTGTTCTGCAATTACTATTAGAAGGGCTAGAAGTCCAGGAGCTGCCCTTTTGCAGATCAGGTGTAACCTCATCAATCTCTCTAATGCCTCCAGCATTTGCCCTATTACCCTGAGAAAGAGAGAAGATTTATAAGAACAAAGCATTAACGGTCAACAAGAAATATGCATAGGGGACAGTTACTTGGCTTGAGAAACTTAGGCATACTATAAAATTGTAAACATGAATCTGACAAAATATATATTCAATGTCTTGAGGTCATAAATTGCAATTTTTGAGTGTACATGGCCAAAGTCAAATACCTTCTTCAGAACTGTTCTAGGAACTTTATCATACAAATGACATTCATGAGCTATTGACCCACCTTTATTTCCTTTGTACTCTTCCTCTATTTTCACTAAACCTTTTGTTCATACCAACGTTTCATGGTATTGGAACACTCAATTTCATGCTTTCTTATAATGGGACAAATTACAACAATTGCTAGCTATTTGGAATTTTGGATCAAGACAGCCCCAACACAATTCCAACTTGACCTTATAAGTTCGTTTGGTTATTTTTTTAAGCCACATTGTACTGTTTCAGGGCTTGTGTTAAAAACCTATATCAATTTGGTTTTACTTCCTGAGCACTTATGTTATAAATGGTGAGCTAGGACTAGGGCACATACTACATTTGACTCACACAACCCCAGTAGAGAGAGAGAGAGAGAGAGAGAGAGAGAGAGAGAGAGAGAGAGAGAAAGAGAGAGAGAGAGAGAGAGAGAGAGGAATACCACACAGGTTATAATTCATGAGCTGGGAAAAAAAGGTTTTATATTTAGCTCACACAAGTACTTACAGACAGACAGACAAATGGAGAGTGTAAGATCAGTAATAGAAATTAAGTTGACCTGACTTGAGAATAAATTCAACCAACCCCAGTGACCATATTTTTTTAATGGGAGACAGCTTTCATTGTAAAGGAACAAAATTACATGAGTAGTGAACAACTTCTATGAAAATTATACACAAAACCTGCAACTAACAACTCTACCTTAAGATAGATACAACAAACACCAGAAAAATGTCCAAAAACAAAAAAAAAAAATACAGCGGCTGCTCTCGAATCTGATAAAATAACAGAAACAACTCTCTAAACTCCAAAGCTAAAGAAGCCCAAAAACGAACTGCTCACTAGGAAAATTCTAAAAAATCCACCTATTTCTTGCCACCCAAATAACCCAAAAACTTTCCCTCATAGCACATCTCCTCAGAACTACACTCCTTTTCTTACCCACGAAAAATTTAAACTTCTGACATAACAGTGTATTACACAACACCGTTTCCATCAGTAATAATAACCACAAAGAAAAAGCCATTTGGCATTGAAGCAACAAATCATCCATACTTTCACCATTCTTCCTGCACATAACTCACCAAGGGGGAGAAAGGAAGATAGAAGGCCTTCTTTGAACTGTCACAAGTATTAATCTTCTCATGAGCAACCAAAGTAACACTTGTACCTTAGCACGCACTCTGTTTAAACTTCAAACTAACAAATATGATATAAATTTATGACTCACAAGTGCTTTAACCATATGAAAGATGGTCTACATGGGAAAAAGTTATCAAGCCTTTCCAAAAACTGAATACAAGAAGGGTATCGAATTTTAAACAATTGCAACAATAACGAAAAATAAAACGAAGAAGAACAAGCAGTAGAATACCTTTACTTCCAAGTAATGGACAAAAACTATGTGCATCAAATCCCTGCACAATAACAAGCACATTAAAATTAAAAATAGAAACCTCGGGAAAGAAGTATTAGAAAACTGAAAACTTTAGAAGCCAAACTTTATTCCAAAAAGGAATGCAATAACACAATATTGGACCTTCATGGAAACACGTATGAACAGTCAACTCCGGAATATGAAAGGTACTGCGCATATACATAAATAAAGTACATAACTCATACTTACTGTTCAAGCATCCAATAGCTGCGCCTTTGAAAATTTTCATTCTCTTCTCCATGAGCATAGTAGCAGTGTAGAACATCAACACTGCCAACCTAAGATAACTCGAATAATGTTAGTTCTCAAACTCCAGGTTTTTTAGTTCAATGAAGATTATTTTCATTTTTCTATTAAGAAAATATCCAAGAAATGTATCACTTCAACTATCCGCATGAGCATCCTTTAGGGGTATACTAAAATAATTGCTGACTATAACGCGGCTTTTATTACAAACCCAGAGACTCCAGATACAGGTAAAGATCTCTTTTTTGCAAGCTTACCTTTAGCTTCTCATGAGCCTCCTTCACAGTCTTTCCATCTTTTTTCTTCCTCCAATTATGTCCATCCTTTCTAAAGTATCTCAAAACCTTCCGATCAAAAAGAAACAGCGAACCACCTGGTATGGTGGAAGAAGTTTCATAAGTAATGTTCTGTGTGTATAAATACTACAACTGAAACGACCAGTAATTGCATTGTATGTAAAAGTGAGCTATTGACTTTCCCTAACATAATTAAAAGGTTCAAAAAGAAAACATCCCAAATGATATTTAGAGACTTTTTGGTACACCAAAAGAGCTGATTTTTTTAAGAACCCAAAACAAATTGGCATCGGCTAATAAACTTTTGTAAAAGAGAAATAAGAATTAAGGAAGAAACAATACTTAGTTAATCATATAAATTAATATTTGCAAATAAGTCAATAACCATACTTGGTGGTCTGTTTGGAGGCTCTGATGAAATATGGAATTTCTGAAAATTACTAAGAATTTCACAGATTTCAGCTGGCCGCAACCACCGATGTTGGGCCTCCCCCAGCAATTGTTGAAAGTCTGCATACACGAAACCATACTATGAGAAATCTTGCCAGAAAATGACTTGATCGAGCATGAATATTTTAGTGTTAAATTGCAGAAAACAATAAATTAACAAGGAAAGGGAGCTTGAAATCTGACCTAATCGAGGGCCCTGAGAGTACGATCCGCGTTCCGCCATGGAAAGACTAGTCGAAGAAGGCAAGGAAGCTGAGCAGAAGTTGATAGAAATAGACAAGAAAGTTTTATTTAAGTCATCATTCTATGGAGTCAGAGTCAACGGGGTAAGATGGATATAAGAAGGGAGACCCCTATTCAAATCAAAAATTAAATTATGTTTTCTTTGTTATTTACTTTGTATCTTGTGAATACTATTATTAACAGAATGTATCTATTCTATCCCTATTTTATACTATTATTAACGGAATGTATCTTCTGAATACTTATTGCGTCTTGTGAATTATTAACAGAATGTATCTATCCGTACACAAAATAATATTGTGGTGGTTCGATGGTGAGGAGGTTGTGGTTGTGGTTGATGGGTTCGATTGCGGCTTTGGTTGTGGTTCCATGGGTTTGATGGTGGCTATGGCTATGGTTCCATGGGTTCCATGATGCTGCTGATGATCTCCCTCTCTGTGGTTGTGGGTTGTGATGGCTAATATGGTGGTTTATCCAAAAACCGACCCATACCAACTGAAATTGAAAGTGTTGATAACGGGCCGTTAGCAGTTCGATGTACCTCCTCTTGTTGATCGGTAGTCGGATCTGTGGCACTATGTTTTTGACACAATTTTTGACACAATTTTTGGACAATTAGATTACTCCATTTTTAATGGATGAGATTAAATATGACATAACTTTTTAACATGAAAAATAAATTAAAATGTTTTTCTCTCTCCTCTATTTTCTCGAAAAGGTAAATTTCTGTCACAATTTTTTTTTCTCTCTCTCCTATTTCTCTTCATCAGCACTCTCTTCTAAACTTTTTCTTTTATCAAACCAAAAAAAATTCTTGATCTCTCTCATTCTTTCCCAAAAAATTTGAAATCCCTCGTGTAGCATGAACATTTTTCTCTTAAAACTCTAATCTCAATTGATCAAAGAAAGATTGTCCATAACAACTGGATGTTAAACAGAACAACTAAGAATAAGGACTTGTCTACCATATTTGCTTTTAAAGCTCCACAAACTACAAACCTAATCAGTGACCTTAGGAAAGAGAGGTCCCTTTCCCCTTATTTTCTCCACCACCTCTTGATTGGGTGCTGGGCAGTAAGGTCTTCAATTGGATTTATCTATTCCATTTACATTTTTAATTAATTCATCTTATTTGCTTAAAACATTCAGGGTCTGGAAAAAGCACAACGTGTACAAAATATGTATATTATCATCAGAAAAAATGCTTGGAAACCTGCCCTAGTGTGTGCAGATACATTTCGAGCTGTGCATTTGATCAATTGAAGAAGAATGCCACTATGGTTAAGATTCCATTTTATGGAATGTACTCTTTTTTCTTTCTACTGGTTATGGAGTTGTGAAGTTTGAGAATGTTGAATTTTTCTTTTCTTTAAGTAAACATCTCAATTCTATATATTAGTTATTTTATAATAGGGGAAGTGAGAGAAAGAGGAATGTAGTAGTTGGATTAGTATCACAGTGGTTATAGTTTGGTCTCATACTCCACCGGTATGGATCACAATTTGATGTTTTTGGAGTTAGAACCACGGTTTCTGGTGTGCTTGGGAGCATTCACCATGGCGACGGCTGCCTCGTCTAGAGATGATTAGCAGAGAACGGTTAGGGAAGAGAGAGAGGAGAGAGAAAAAAAAATTGTGATAGAAATTTACCTTTTAGAGAAAATAGAGAGAGGAGAGAGAAAAACATTTTAATTTATTTTTCATGTCAAAAAGTTATGTCATATTTAATCTCATCCATTAAAAGTGGAGTAATCTAATGGTCCAAAAATTGTGTCAAAACTTGTGTAAAAAATATGGTGCCACGGATCCACCCCCTATTATATATATTCATTCTTTTGAATTAGTTTTTTTTTTTCAACAAAGTAGTTATATATTGGTTTTTTCTTCCATAATGAGGAGGGTCAGGAACCCATTCCCCAACGAAGGTGGGGCTAGGGAATCCCCAATTTGAATATTGCGGGTATGAAGGCGGGGATGGGGAAAAAAGCTTAATGGGGATGGGGATGGGAATGACATACCCACCCGCGATTCGACCCAGTGCCATCCCTAAATATTCGGCAATTATACCCTTAAAATTTTAATGACTGAGCACCCAAAAAAAAAGAAAAGAGAATTGTCACATAGGAAAATGAGAATGCGCTATATATTCAACAACCCATCAAGGAAACCTCTCTTGCTTGGAGACCATTTATGCTGAATTATTGAAGGCAATTAAAGCAACTAGAAATAGTTGCACCAAAACTGAGAAGCTTCCACTTTACAAGAACCCAAGTGGTGCACCAACAGTTAAGCCACATAATCCTCAAATATACCTCTCAAAAAGTTGAAGCAAGATTCAAACCACAACTTTTATCATGCTTGCTTTGAAGGGACCTCAAGAGTAGAAGCAGCACAGACAAGCGTGAGTTTAAGTGCTTGCTTACCCCCAAAAAGGCTTCCACTGAATGAACAAATGGCCACTAGACAAGAATAAATGTTCCTAAGACAACAAGGCTGAGTTTTAACACTTGAAGAAGTGGAAATCGACGACGCCTTAGGATTTTACCCAGGAGATGGATAGTGATATAATGAAATAAAAATTTTACGGGTTACTGGTTGGTTGCATCTTTTGAGAAAACACACTATACCAAACAAGCTTATATTTGGGAACTTGCAGTAGCTGGGCTCCTCATAAACATACCATAAACAAGCAATTAACAAATTGGAAAATACTCAATCCATTTGGAATGACTTCAAAATGTGGATCAGCTCGTTTGAAATGAAATCTACACATTGTCAGGTTTTGGAGCCTCTTTAGCCTTGAAACTAAATCAAAATTAATGGTCTACGAATGAGGATTCCATCTACAATCTACTTCTCATATAGATAAATTGATATAAGATATTTCGTCTAACCCATATCCATCCATTCACTTCAAATCGTACGTTACCTCTAAAGATCAAATTCTGCCAAAATCTCAGAAAACTTGCCGCTTGAATGTACTAAGGGGCAAGCCTATGTGGATCACGAGGGAACAAAGAAGTTTTGCGGATGTTGTCCAAACAACAGAATAGCATGACAACACGCTCCAGCCCTACCCCGAACCCACTGTTTGGGCCTAAAATTGATGCGCCCAGTCCGAAATCAGAAAGCCTACAACAATTTTGAAACAGCTGCCAACAAAAATCAGGCCTAGACTATACATTTCAAGCCCAACATAGGAGGCCCAGAAACTATCAAAGCACAAGCATGACTTGGGCCTCGAAGGAATCCAAATTGGGCTTGAACCAAAAATGGGCTTGGCAGGTTTTAAATTAAAAGAAAAAAAAGAGAGAAGCCCAAAGGAGAAGCAGACCCACGTGACCCTCTGATTTGGAAAAGTCAACAATTTCAACTGAAGTTAATAAGGAATGAACAGGGGCAGGTATAAAGAAGACCATCTCTGAAAAACTCTGCAGCCAGGAGATCAAAACCCGTTTTGTTTATTCAGAGATATTTTCTCTGCTCCAAAAAAGGCACCATTTTCAAAAAGATACGCAGACTACGCTTTCTAAAAAGAGATAAGCAGGAAACAGGGAGTTGCTAAAATTGGAAAATCAAACTTACCATCACAGGTTGAAAGAGCAGCTAAACTGGAAAAAAGAAGGTGAGGTTCCCCATTCAAACAGGGAAGTGACTGTTTCAGAAACTGATCGTTGAGGACTTAAACTATCAAGATTGATAAAACCCCTTTTCTTTTGCTTTTTAAAATAAAAGATCTTTCGAGATTTTTTGCATCCATTATTAAAAGAAATTAGAACCCCCACTCCCAAAACATTTCTTATAAATACAAGAGAGGGTGAACAGAGCAAAGGATCACCAATTTCAAACAACCAAAAATCAGTCAAAAGACAAAAACTCAAAATGCTCATTTGATCCCAAAAGCCTTCAAACAGAGACCAATCAAGACACCCAACTTCAGTTCAGACTTAGAGAAATAAATCATTCAAAACGAGATTTCTCTCGTTACAAATTTGGTTCATTCAAAATGAGATTTCTTTCGTTACAAATTTGGTTCAGCATAAGTCAAAGCAAGCAGAGTTCAGGTTTTTACAAATATGAAAACCTAAACAAATTTATGAAGAGCCCTGATCAAGCAGGTCAGACACCACAGTAAAGCTCCAGCTCAGTAGTCAGTTCTAGCCACTTCTGCCTCTTCCAGACTAAAGAAGTCCCAATTCTACCCGACCAAAGCCGTTCCAGGGTTTGAAATAAATTGAAAGCTCTGCCAAACTCGAACGTTGGCATCGATTTGCAGCTGAAACAGATCAGTTGAAGTTGTTGACAGTCTAGTCCAGCACAGTCATATCCAATCCAGCTCGGATTAGAAGCATCTGCCCAGGCAGAAATGGAAGCCCAAACGTCTTTTTCTCTTCTCGGAGTCAATTTTTCCCTTTTGAGTCTTGTAAAAGAGAGTTTTGTCTTAAAGTAATCCATTTTCTCACCATCTATTCTGGCCAGAACTGTCCGTTTTATACTGTGAAAAATTGTGAAGTCATCACCAGTCTGAGGCAAGAAAAGAACTTACTTGGGAGATATTCCTCACCCAAATTCACAATCGTTTGTTTAGAAATCAGTAACTTGGGGCGCAAGTTATTTATTTTTAAAGAAGTCTGCTAGAATTTTTATTGCTAGCAGTGGCACGCTCGCACACTAAAGAAAGTTGACTTGTCGACCAATTAATGGTTTTCAAGACAAGGAGGAACTTTACCCTACCATTACAGGAGACAAATCAAAACGGGTGAACACCCACCGTGCGGAGGTGCACCGTATCTGTAAGAGCCATCATAAGGGTTAACAAGAGCCCGAGCAGAAGAAACTTATGCTAAACAATATTGAGCAGTATAAGGTATACAAGATATGGTAAAAAGCCATTTTGTAAAGAGCTTTTTACTTGGAATATTTTAAACACATTATAACAACAACAAGGGAAGAAAAAATAACAATACCTAAAAGCATCGATATATGTTGAAATTGTTTTCAATTCAATCCCACATGCTTGTGCCATTTTCGCGAGTAACTTTGGTCTGTGCTCACGCTAGGCACCAGAAATTATCTCCT